AGGGATGCCAAGGCATGAAAGGATTTGAAAACGATCGTGAGAATCTTGAAATCGATCCATTCAGCAATAGGGAGCCAGTGGAGGGTGGTTAGAACTGGTGTGATGGAGGTACGGAGTTTAGTACGGGTGAGTATGTGGGCGGCTGAGTTTTGGATTAGCTGGATCTTGTGCATGGTGGAGCTGGGGAGACTGGTGAAGAGGGGATTTGAAAAGTTCATTCTGGAGGTGAAGAATGCTTGGACAACTGTTTCAGCTGCGTCTGGGGTAAGGTGTATTAGGAGGTGAGCAATGTGATGGAGGTGGAGGAAGGCGGTCCTGGTCAGGGACCAGATGTGGGGAAGGAAGGACAGCTGTGGGTTGAACTTGACGCCTAGGTTGTGCACCGTTCAGTGAGTCTGAGGGAGAGCCCAGGGAGGTTGCGGAGGTCAGAGCCGTAGGACAGTAGACATTTATGAGAGCCAAGGCGTATGGCTTCCGTCTTGTCAACATTTAGTAATTTGAGCTCAACCAGGCAATGATGTCTGCCAGACAAACCAACAGAACATTGGTGGACTTAGAGTTGCAGCTGGAGGAGAAGTAGATTTGTATGTCATCTGCATACGTGTGGATGTTTACCCCGTATCGGCAGATGACACTACCAAGAGGAAGCATATAGATGAGGAAGTGGAGGAGGCCAAGGGTAGAGCCCTGGGGTATACCACAGGTGACCTGGCAGGGCCGGGAGGAGAAACCGTTTGAAGAGACAAAGTGAAGGCGGTTTGTTAGGATTAGGATCTTATACAAGTCATGAAGGCAGTCTTCTGGGAACAAGGACACCTGGATACAGATCTCTTAATGGCATTGAATAAAATAATGTGGAGAGTTGTTTGCTTGTGCATTGCGATCTTGCACGAGCTCCTTAGTGATACAATAGATGTATGTCTGTTTTAGAATTTCACCTTATCTAAAGTTTTCATGAGTTTTGTGTGTCCTGAAAACAGGTGGATTGATGGCTCTTGGAGCTGCTCTTCCATTTTGCAGAGGGACCCAGAATGGTGAATAGAAGACAATTTTCCTCACTTAAAAGGAAAAAATGAAACAATCTGAGGTGCAAGAAAAGTTGCCTATTTACCATTCAGCCCGAAGTTGATCACATTTAACTTTGGGCACAGCACCTCAGGCTCTGGAGGGAGTAGAGCGCAGATTCACCAGAATGATGCCAGGGTTTAAAAGGATAAGTTATGAGGGCAGGTTGCATAAACTTGGCTTGTATTCCCTTGAGGTTTGACAGTTGAAGGATGATCTAATTGGGGTGTTTAAAATGGATTTGATAGGGTAAATACAGAAAAACTGTTTCCTTTGGTGGGGACATAATGTGAAAATTAGGGGACATAACCATAAAATTAAAGCTAGGCCATTTATGATTGAAATCAGGAAGCACTTTTTCACAGAAAAGGTAGTGGAAATCTGGAACTCTCTCCCGTAAAAGGCTGTGGGTGCTGGATCAATTTAAATTTTCATAGTTGATAGATTTTTGTTAGGTAAGGGTATCGACGGATATGGAGCAAAGGTGGGTAAATGAAATTGAGGTACAGATCAGCCATGATCTAATAGAAGGGCGGAACAGGCTCGAGGGAAAGAATGGCGTTCTCCTGTTCCTATGTTCAACCAGCATCCTAAAGTAACTGCTTTCTCTATCAAGATACCTGGTGTGTCTTTAAATGAAGGCAAAACAAAAGATATGAATATATACACCAACTGTGAAACAATCTGACACTACAAATGCACAAATTAGAAACCTATCATTATACTAATAGCCACAGCCAAGAAAATAATTTGTAGGAAATGGAAATTTATTGAAATTCATCAGTAGCGTATTGGAAACCTTGGAAACACAACTGTGAGAGAATATGGAACAAATCCAAAGGCACAATATTTGAGGTTATCTGGAATTCTTTCTTGGAAGCAGTCAAAGATAGCCATTTTAACAATGTGTGCATTATATATGTTTAAAGCTCATATATACAGTTGAGCCTCGGTGAAAGAATTATTTTAATATCATTCTGTGCCAACAGTTAAATCTTTAGGCAGTGACTAATAAATGACTACAAGGTGTAAATGTTTTATCCTAGCCCACTTCATGAGCATATGAAACTGTACATCTGAAAATATTAAAACCTTGGACACGTTTAACCCAGTGCCTTGGGAAAGTTCTCTCCAAGTGAAAGGTGCTGTACAAATGTAATTTTATAAGTTGTATTGTATTAACCTAGGAAGGTACATTTTGGCCCACAATGTCAAATTTCAAGTCATACACATTTAAAATTTTGCTGCAGATGTTTCCACTGAAACACATGACCCAAAGTATGCAAAGAAGCCATTTGATGAGCTGGAGAGGACGTTAGTCGAATCCAAGTCCTTTATCTTTCTTTGACCTCAAAACTCTCCCGTCTGTTCCTAAGATTTTTGTTTCAAAAGATGCTTTTTCCAACCTCTTTCGTTTAAAGGAATAAGATTACAGGGGGTGAGAGTTTACCAGGTATAAGTAGAAGCTTAAGTAATTGAAGGTGGCTGAAGTCATGACCTTCTCACCAGGTGGTTTAGACCAAAATCTTTTTTCAATCAAACAGTACTATTTTCTCCATTGAAACTGACTGTGCAGTCATCGTTGATGCCTCACAAACAAAATCTCAATGGAATACAGTGTTGGATTTAAATGAGTTTTATGTCTTGAATTATTTTGTCAAGCAGTTTCAACATAGTTCACACAGACATTGCAAGTTCACACTAGTGTCAGGTAAAATAAGGGTTTCAAGTATTTGAACTGGCGATATAAAGATCACAGCATTTATATGTGATATTGTTTCTTTTTGGTCTGGCTTTAAACTCTATTAAATAAATTATAAGTAAGAAATATGATTCGAATCTGCCACAAATCGAAAGTGTTTCTAAATGCTGTTCATATATATTGTGGTTTTCAGGAAGCCCCTAAAATGTATTTGGTAAATAAAAACATTCAAAGGTGCTATAAGAAGAAAGATGCATTATTGTTTCTGCTTTGTTTTTTCTATCTGGACTGTTCTAATGGTCCCAGAATGAGTAACCCACTTGTGCTGCACAACCACTCCATTTATTGTTCTTCAGATCTTATGGTACAATACTAGCCTCTCAATCTTTCTTCATGGGTCCCTCAGGCCCCAAATGCACTTGCATTGTGCTTTTGCTGATCTTTTAGTTAAGCTGGAGTAATACTGGCACCATCTAGAGTATAAATAGCACCCCACAAAGCAAACTAAATGATAGCTGCTAAGTCTAGGGGCAGAGGGTCCCAAGATATCAGCTCACCTTGACAGTCCAGCAATATGATTTCAGCATTGCTGCTCAGGATAAATCTCCCATTAGAGTGTGAAAATCTGTCATCAATCAGGAAAAAGAAGTTGCAAGTCATAATTCACTTTTTATGCTGTTCTTTCTGACATTGCTTCTTGATACATTCGATACTTCAGAATACACACGCAGACACACACACATATAGACACACAGAGATACTCAAATCCTCTGTGATCAAACTTATTCAAACACTTGATTGGTGACTTTTTAATTGTTTCTTTTTTGCTATTTTGGAAGACTTGCTTGAATGAAATGTTGTTTGCTATTTAAAAATTAAAATAATTGCTGGTCATTATGTGAACTATTATGATGTAAATATAGGGATATCATTTGTAATATTATGTATCAATTTTATCAGCGCCTTGGGACGTCCTCCTGACGTGAAAGGCGCTCTATAAATGGAATCTTGTTGTTGTTGAATCTTGTTGTTATGTATCAAATTACATTTTGCCATCCGTTTAGTAGGGAAGCAATGCTATATTTGTTTGAAGACTTGGTTAGATCACATTTGGAATACTGTGTACAATTCTGGTCACTAAATTACATAATATTATGACGTTAGGGAGTGTAGCTGTGGTAACACATGTAAGCACTTGATTGGCGTATGTGTGGTAGTTGGCAGGGTCAAGACCCTTGATTGACACATGAGCACAGCATAATAGGGAATGAACTTGCACTAAGGGTGATGGCTAATTCGGCTGTGACTTAATGTGAACAGAGGATTGAGAATAAATAATTTGACTGAGGTAACCAGAAAGACTGAGGTGACTTGTAACACAGTGTAGATTCACAAGGATGTTATCAGGGCTAAGTGGATCCAGCTTTCAAGAAACATTGGACATGTTCAGCTTTTCTCTCTGGAGTTGAGACAGTTGAGAGGGACCTGATAGAGGTGTTCAAGATTATGAAGGATTTGATAAGTTGGATTTTTATAGGGTGCTTCCACTTCTTGGTGAGTCTATAACAAGAGGGATAAATACAGGATGACCAAAACGTCATGATAACTACCCTATTGCTTAAAAAAATCATAATTTCTTTCAGACTTATTAGACATTACATGGTTTATGTTGTAATAATAGTCCTTGCATTTATAGTAATAATCCTTGCATTTTATGAAGCACCTTCTCACACCTTTGAGACGTCTCAAAGCGCTTCTCAGAATATACTGTAAAGTGAATTGACTATATTTTGTTGGCGAAATGTAATGTATTGGAGGACCATCTTCATGCAGAGGATGGTGCGAATGTGGAACACACTGCCAGAAGCTGTGGTTGAAGCAAATGGCATCAAGACATTTTAAAAAAAACTTGATGCATACATGAGGGAGAAAGGAAGAGAGGGGAACAGGAAGGTTGGAGGTTTGTTTGGAGTAGAAACATCAGCATGGATTAGTGGGCTGAAGGCCTGTTTGCATCCTATATCACTTTATATAACTCTACCGCAATACTCTGGAATTGGGTAAGCAGGATGTGTCTCTCCAGGTCGAGAGTGCATATCCCATTCCAATACACAGGAATTTCCATGTGTAGGTGGGATGCATGGTCTGGATACTCTTAAGCATGGTGATGGGTTTCTGTATTTGTTAGGCACCCAGCAGACCAAATATGTAATTACTTGTTGTTTCTTTGCAGGAGTGACTCACAACATTGGATTACTACGGGAGATTATCATTCACCCACGCTTTGTTGAAGGAGACATTACCACCAAATTTCTTCCAGAGGTCTACCCAGATGGCTTTAAAGGTTTGTTGTTGCCGTAAGCATGCACAATTTAAGAAAGATCATTTGTTTAGAATAATGAGTTTTGTTTAATCAATTGTAGGTATTATTTCTAGTTTATCATATATTGTGGTGAAAGTTTCAGCATTTCACAACAGGGTTGTTCTGAATATAATAATAATCCTTGCATTTGATATAATACCTTATCACATCATTGAGATGTCTCAAAAATCCTACCCTGACATCACCCTGGTTCATAAAGAAAGTAGACCGTTATTTGTCTGCTCGGGAGTGGTTGGGGGTGGAGTCGTTGGGGGGTTGCGAGAGGGAAGAGACAGAGAAGGAGAGAATGGATCGACATGTATCCTCGATGCTTGAGTTGCGTTTTTTTAAGCCTTGCTCACAAGTGTATGGAAGCTGGTCTAACTTAGGCTGGTAATCCATGCTGTACATTGAAAAAATAGTGAATCAGACAAGCGGGTCTACTTAACATTGGCCTAACGTGAGCTAAAAGCGTAGCATGGACAATTTATTTAGCTTTTAAAGGGTATATTGAAGGTTTGGATCCCGGTTTGCTACTTCACAAGATAACTTCTTAGCTAGTTTGATACCCTGTAAAGCCATCACTGACACAAAGCTGGAATCCTTTGCACTCTTGCGGCTGAATAGATTCCTTCTACCATTCAGACACTTCAGTTCCAATTAATGATTCCAATCATCCAGAAAAATATACATAAATTGTTTTTCAGTTTTGGTTAGTTGAATGTTAAATAATTCAAACAGAGTAGTTTGTGGAGCATTGTATTTGGATTCCTGTATTCACAAGATTGACCTGGATGATTATCTCATCTCTTCAGAACACCTACCTTACCCTGGTTTATAAATAAAGTGGACTTTATAAAGTATAAAAAAATACTCTTAGAGTATTGTTTTATTTGAAAGATAATTTGAAGGTCATTAATATTTGATTGTCTTTTCAGTGCATGACCTGAGATTCTTGTATAAAAGAATTGAAACTAACTAAAAATATATGAAGGGAAATGTACATTTTTTTTTCTCCTCAATTAAAAATGCTCCAATAAACTAAACATATTTCATAAAAGCAACTGTTTTGAGTTTATTCATTTTCAATTTACTTACAAGTGGGATATGCTATCACCCAGATAAGGTAACTTTGAGGTGTTGTTCCTTTAAGAAATTGTGTTGTTTTTATGCATGCCAATTTTCTTAGCTATCTGCTATGGGATACCAAGGCTAATTCTAATGTCTTCCTGCTCAACTGGGTCAGATATGCTCTTTTATTTGTATATTTATTCGAAATTCTTTTTTTAAAAAAAGTCTATGCCTGCGATAGGCAGTCCATATATTTCTTTGTGCCTGTTTGCCAACCTTCAAACACATTTCTTTTTCTGCAAAATATTGATGATATCCAGAAAAATCAGTTGCATTCTCCTTCTATTTGTGTGATCTTACACCAGCTGATTTCATGTCCTTGTAAATCATGTTCTATAATCTTTACAATTAATGGATAATTTCATGTTATACAGATCCAGCCTTTCACTGACTTACTAATTCCTACCTGAGATTTAAATTTGATTCTGTTTTCGAAGCATTTTAAGCCTGTGGCCTTAGGCTTCTTGTAATTAAGAGAGTTGTGTTGCCAGCTATCATTTTCACATGTATGATTGATTAATGAACTTCACGCCTTGTTGGTTGAATTACCAGGTTTTATTTGACTTGAGGATAGGGTATTTCTTAGATCACATCTATATTTACAAATTTCTGACATTCACTTAGCTCAGAAAATTATGATGACAAAGTATTAGCCCAAATCCTGTTACTTCTACTGAAAGAACTTTCTGGATCATATTAACTAGCATTGGCGAGAGGCATTTGTGCGGTCATATCTATGTTAGCTATTTGAAATGATGGTCCTTGGGAGAGAATTTCCAATTGCAGTGCTTTTATTATTTTTTTCTTCTCTTTCTGAAAACATTTGATTCCTTTTTCTTTTGCCAGGACATGGTTCCACAGTACCTCACCCATTATTCAGGTGTAAACCTTACCAATGGGTTTTGGAAGTTTTGATCATGTGAGGAATCGCAAACTAAAACTAATCCTGTTCTAACCTGACATCCACACATGCACACTTTCCTTCTGGAATTTCTGGATGGCAATTGGGAGAAGACCCTGTTTTCTTTTAGTCTCTTCTCTCTCTCTTTTCTCTCTCTCTTTCTCGCTCTCTCGCAAGAGACAGAGGAGAAAGAGTGTGATAAATGTAATAAATTTGGAGCCCCCCACACCCCCCTACATGGAATTCAGTTCAGTCTGGAATTTAATCCTACAACCTTCTGGTCTGCATCTGTATGATCCCGTGCTGAATCACTGGACCTTTGGAGAACTGTTTTAGGATCCTTCATTAATTAAAATTAATTTTGAAGTTGTTTGCAAGGGACTGATCTCATTTTCAGATTTCCTTCTTAGAATGCAAGACACACACTGGGAAGGAATGAAGAGAAAGTTAGAATGTTTTTTAACATCAACTTAAAAGAAGTGTTCAAAATAAAGCAATATCTTGTGATCTATAAAAATCAGGTTGCACTTCAAAATGCGTTTGTGCATAAAATGTATTTCATTGTCAGTAAGTCACCAAGGGGGGCCTGTTTCCAGGTGGCTATAAATTTGGATGCGAACCTAATGAAACTCAGACACATCAATGTGCCAAGAAACAGTTACCTTATCTGCATAGATGTGTGCAATTTCCAACAGATTTAAAGAAAAAAAACTTGCATTTTTATAGTGCCTTTTCATGCTCCAACTTCTCAAAGACTTTTGCAATAATTATTGTCAAATGTAGTTAAATATTTTTGCAGATGAGCATTTTGCACACAAAGTCCTACAAACAGCCATAAGGCGAATGACCAATTTATATTGACAATTGTTAGCTAGAACCCCGATACAATTGGTATTCTGGGATCTTGAGCATCCACCTGAGCAAGCAAATGGGACTTCGATTTAACATGTCATTTGAAGTAGAACATCTCTAATAGTGCAGTATTCCCCTCCATGATTGGAGTATCAGCCTGGAGTATGAGCTTCAGTCAAGTTTGATTCCTGGCATCCTGTAAAGGTAATTAACATGGGTATATCCTTATCTGGGGGCTTAAATCCCTAAACAAAAGAAAACGTTCAACAACTATTTCTGCTGAGTAGAAACTCATGCCTCACATTGGTGCAAAATTCCTCCATGAAGGATCCTAATGTGGTTCTCTGAAGGTTCAGTGTGTAAAATACAAAATCGTACAGACCAAAAGGTTGTTGGTTTAATTACTGAACTGATCTAAGTTAGGTAACACCAACTAGGATGGCGTGGGAGAAGGCAGGAGCTATAATTGGTCCAAAGCTCCAAGGATAGAGAGGGCAAAAGAAGACAGGGATTCCCACCACTGATTGCTATCCAGGGATCCCAGATGAAAAATATGCATGTTGATGAGGACAGGATTGAGCTTCATTGCAATGTTGTTGATCAGATAGCTTGCCAACATTCATATTGTGTCTTTATAGTAACTCCTCGAAGCGCTTCACAAAGATAATGCAGGGAGGGAGTTGGGGAGGTGATTTTACGCACGGTGGGATTTCAGGAAATATTTAGGGACAGTTTAAGAGGTCCTACAGTAAAAAACTTTCATTACAATTCGATGTTAATGTTTGTGGACTGCCCACCTGATCTTAAGATATTTTTATCATAAATTGTGTATTTTGAGTTGCATGTTCAGTGAATCCGTGGCTTAACCATCCATGATATCGTTCTTCATTCATGTACAGTAGGTTTTCAGCCAAGAGAATTTAAAAGAAAAACCTTCTTGCCCAACAGGACATAAACTGACAGATTTTGAGGGCAAGGAACTGATGGCTACTGCTGCATCCATTTTTGTAACTGATTCGGTGAGGTCTCGGAAATTCCTTGAAAAAATGACAGGGTAAGTAATCTTTCAATTTAACGGTGTCAAATCATTTTCATAGCTTTGTGTTTAATTCCCATGACGAACAATTTGTATTTTCGGTGCATTCCTTCCACCAATCTGCACCCACCCTCTGGAACTCCATCCCGCAGTCCCTCCGTCTCGCCACCTTCAGGACCCACCTCAAGATCCTCTTCGACTGTGCTTCCGATCTCCCTGTTTCCCCCCCTGCCCTCCACCCTCCCCCATCCCAACCCTCAGCTCGGGTCCGTAACTCTGTCTGTCCAATGCCTTATTGAATCTTGATCTGCCTATACTTTCTTTTCCCGACTTGAAAGGTGCTATACGAATGTAATTTTGTTGTTGTTGTTCCTAATAACCTATATTTCAAACTTCTTGTGTCAAATTGAAGGTAAGTAATGATGTAAGCAAATACGTGTTTTGTAGTGTCAGCCTGGGTAAGATGGTAGCACTCGTTTCTACGTCTGCACTCGTTTCTTACGTCTCATGAGTTCAAACCACATCACAGGACTTGGAACTTTGGCACGGTCCTAGTTGGGCTGAATTGCCTGTTTCTGTGCTGTACAGTCCACGTATATCTGCACAGTCCATGAACTCATAGGCTAGGCTGACAAACCAAAGCAGGAGGATTTCTGCTGCATTGTTGGAAATGCCATCCTTTGGATAAGGCATTACACCCAGGTTCTGTCTAATTGTTCAGGTGAATGTTAAAGATCTCATGGCATTATAGGTAGGCAGCTGATCAAAATAGATTTAAAAATATATAAAAAGGGTAAACCTGCTTAAATACTCCGCCATAAACATTTAAAAAAATGTTCGACATTGTTGCACAAAATGGTACGGATCTGTAGGTTATAGTCTGTTGCACACCAGTCTCTTTTTAAAAAGAAAGTATAGGCAGATCAAGATTCAATTCTCTAATGTTTAGATGTAAATGAACGAGAAAATGGATAATAATTTACAAATTTATAAATTATTGAAGAAGTTCATAAAATCAACTGTTTATGAATATAAAAATGCATGATTAATTCACAATATTGCAGTTATAAAATAAGTTTATGTCCATGAAAAATGAGAGCAAGAAAGTATTTTTTCAGCGCCTTGGGGCGTCCTCCCGATGTGAAAGGCGCTATGCAAATGTAATCTTGTTGTTGTATTAATGAAATTAAAATAGTTATTTCATTTGCTTTGGTGATGTTTAATCAGACATTCTATGTGCGCTCTGGGAAGTTGGGTGTTGGAAGGGTTTCTTGGGAGAGAATTGGCTCTGATACAAGAGTTATCCTCTACTCTTTGTGATTAATGCTGTGGAATCTTTAACATCCACAGTGACAGGAAGAAAGGACCTCAGTTTAACATCCTCTTCAAAGAACTGTGCCACTGTCCGTCTCAAATCTCCAGTTGGGCCTTAACCCCAACCTTCTGATCTTTGCAGCATAAAAATTGCACTGGCTTTGGAGTTGTAAACTGCTACATAATTTTTGACCATGATACAGAAATAATGGACACACGTTTCCTGCAGGAAGTGGCTATGGATGATTGATGATTGTTTCTTTGTTAAACTTTAACCCACTTTCTTTGTTTAACTTTCTCTATTTATGCCACAAACTGTAAGTTTCATTGTTGACACTCAGGGACTATTTCACTTCAAAACATTGAAATTCTTTCACTATGTTTCCGAAAAAGGAAATGCCTGAATCTTGTGGATTTCATGAACAAAACACGTATTGTGTTATTTTAATCCTAAAGTAAAGTATTCACAGAATAGAGGACTGTTTTGGTCTCTTCAGATCGCTTAAGAGGTTTAGAAAAAAATTGTCTTGCACTTCTACAGTGAGCTGAGGAAATTAAATGAAGGAAATGAATACACTGCTGTTGTATACAACACCGAAATTCTAAACAGTTTTTGGAAAGCTGCAGTTACTAAAGGAACAGTATATATGTGGTTTTGCCAAAATGTGCACAGCTTCTGAAAGTACTTGTTTATGCTAGTCAGAAAGAATTTAATCCTATTAACACATCAATTTGGATCTGAAAGAAATCATGGTTACGATTAATGAACACTGTTTTTAAAGTAGAAAACAACCCGGCATCTATAGTAACTTTAACAAAAAGCAGCTTTTGAAATTTAAATCTGACAATTTTTTTTCAGAGATTACTTTCTAAAAGTTCGGACTTTTGAGCAAATAATTAGGATTTGATTGAAGTTATGTCATGAGCATTTTTGATATATTGATACTACCCTAGAGAGCATAAGCATTGGTGCAATCCATATTCATAGTTAAGATGACCATATGGGAGAAGGTAGATGGTTTGGTTGCTGTGTTGTTTCCCCTGTGGTGGATTGGGAGGGGAATAGCAGAGTGACTCTCCAGGTGTGGCAATATTAGAACTATCTCTTGGGTCTACTAATGTTATGTTTATGCTTCTAAAACCAATTGCCTGCAGCACTTCCTGCACGTTGCTTGTCTTGGCTGAAAGTGCATGTTTTTCTAAGTTCTGTGTGGGTGTACCCTTTCAAAATGTTCCATTTACATTATAACTGTTAACTTTATGTCCAAGGAATGGGTTTGTCAATGTGTGTCTCATTTTGAGGGTGAGGCCATTGTCACATTGTTTACATGCTTTTGTACAATTTGCTCTCATATGAAGAATGGCCACTTGGTTAAGGTCTCGCAGAGCTGTTGACACCTATGTAATTGTAGCCCAGAATTAAACCTTGTTACTTCAGATGCAATAAACTTGTTTCAGTGCATTGTTCTGCATTGTAAAACGCATGGTTTGGCAACAGATGCATAGTTTACAATACCACTTTATGGTGTCATGGCAACTTTAATACCAAAAATTATTAGAAGCTTGTCATTTTATCTGTTGAGTTTTACATTTGTTGTATTTAATTGTAGGTGGTACTTAGTATCCTTGTTTCGTTTGTAGGTATATATGGGGTGATGGGGAAAGCAGCATGCAATATTATCTGTGATATCTCACCAAAAATAAGGTCAAAAGCGATTAATAGTTATTATTGAGCAGTGGATAGGGAAGAAGGGATTACCCTGAGGTGAACTATAGGTATTGACTGCTTTTGAGATGATGAATTTATTGGTAAACAACAATTTATATTTTTATAGTGCTTTTCACATCTGGAGGATAGCTCAAAATGCTGCAGTCTGAGCTGGTGGGGGGTTGGGGGGTTGGTGCTGGAAGCTGGGGAAGGGTAGACAAAAAGCAGTCAAAGAGAGTTTTTTTTTCTCTTATTGGTGTCTGGGCCTTCAGCCACCACACCTCTAACCTCTGTAACTTCCTGCCTCAATCCCTCCTCTCACCCCTCTCTTCATGTAATTTAAATCCCACCTAAAGATGACTCCCCCTTCTCCCTTAATTAGCATCTAACCCTGCCAATGTTCAGCACTCCAAGAAGCTATCCTTTATGAAGGGCACTATATAAATACAAGTTGTTTAAAGTCATGTGGAGCAAGGAAACTTGCCTAACGTTTCGCCCTGCCCAGGAATTGAACCAGGTCCTCTCGCTTGTGAGGCGAGTGGTCTAACCAATACACTACAGGCCTCCATATACTCATGAATAATATGATGGCAAGATGGTGAGATTGCTATAAATTAGTGCAGCAAATAACTGCTGGCAGCAATAGTAAAGCAATGATCTTTAATGATCCTAGTTCCATGGACACTATTGATGCTAACTTGCTAGAGCAAACCTACACCTAAAACTTATTTGATGTTCCTATCTTTTCTCAGATAACTTTGTAAAAAAAATCCTCCCAGCAGTCTTGGTCTTCTAATCACCCTCGTATTACAGCTGCCAAGTTATTAAAGTTTATTTTAGTAATAGCTATTAGTTTACATGTACTGTTCACTTTTTGATGTAACTTACAGTGCAGTGTATGAAGTCCTTTCCTGAACCTTGTGTGGTGGATGCATTCCTTCAAAGAACATCAGTGGACACCATGGTGCCCTTTCAGCTGTTTACAACTATTTCCTGGCTTGCATGCTACATATGTAAAATGACACATGTCTTTCAAACAAAGTTTGAAGATTAAAATAAAGAAATCATAGATTTAGTGAAGAGATATGTTTTGATAAAAGGATTCTTGAATTTCCATAGAATATTATGTACAGTTTTAGGATTTCTCAGAATTTATAGTTGGAAAAAAATCTACAGAACACAGTTAGTAAAAACAGACATTGTATTGTACTCATTTCCTACTGCTTGTAGCCAAACCTTAACTGAGAATATTTTGCAATCATTTCCTTTGATTGCTTATATAAGCAATCAAAGGAAAAAACTAATTAGGGAACCTAAACACAATAGCAAGCATAACTATATAAAATATTTAATGTGAGATTCCCTGTAGGATTAAAGTTCCCTGAAGAGCATGTTCTTAATTTTGTAGCAAGATAATTTCTTTGAAACATTTTGCCATATTCGATTTAGGCACCACATTTTTCTGGCTTCATGTTCTTTTTGAATTTGAAACCTGCATAAATCATTATCAACACAGGTCAGAACAAGTACCAAATAGAAACTCTTATCACTTTATCTGCCATGTTATATGTATCTGTAAATGTAGGTGTATTATCCCCCATGAGTAAATACATGGAAATTCTAGATGTCCTCAACTACATAATTAACCATTAACAGAAATGTTGTTAATGAAATAATTAATACATTGTTTTTGTTGTTTGTTAATTGCATAAGTAAGCGCCGCTGTCATTTCGTCTGTGTAACTGCTGTAAAATGTATTTGGCACAATGTAGACTCCAAACTCTCCCACATTAATTCTCTGTTTCAATTAGTCCAGAGGAAACTCTCCAACTGCCCTCAAAAGTACACAGACCCATCATGATGGAATTTCTGCTCCTATTTGTTCTTTCTCGTCTTCCTTCCCCTCCAAATCTGTCTGTGTTTGTAGATGCACCATAATTTGAAATATCACTGACATTTCATATTGGGTGGTAGGAGGGAGTTTTCTGTGGGACGC